TTTAATTAAATGCAAGTCTGCTCTTATAAAATCATAAATAATTAAAATGACTGGGATATTTCGGGCGGAGGTCAATGTATTCTTAGCAAATTTTGACAAGGATATTTTAACATATATAAATATATATAGCAGTTTGATAATATAAAAACTGATTAAGTCGTTATTGCTGATTAATAAATCCACTAGTATGGTAAAGATAAAATGCAACGAAGTTTTAGGTTTCTAAGTCATTTTTATATATGCGACTTAGTATATTTAAATAAAAAATGATAATTGATATTTTTTTGTTTACTAGTTAATTTCAATGAAAAAAACTTTCTCTTGGAAATTTGTATAAAAGACAGAGATAGTAACAAATATGCTCACAGACAACAATTTCTAGTGATAAGGACAACAAGTACATATAAAAAATATCCTTAAAATTATAAAAAAAATCTTATAAACTATATCCCACAATGTTGTCTGCCAGCGTAAATAATTCTAAAATTATCAAAAAACAAAAACGTCCATATAATTTATTATTAATAATTTTAATCCTGATACAGTGTTGCCACCAACATTCCCTGGCCCATGGTATAATGGCAAGCTATAATTACAGTGATTTAAATCCCAATATACGATGCCCCGGAAGAAATGAAGAAAATATATGGCGTCCCTGTAAACATGGTGGCTATATAGAAAATCTGGATCCAGCCAATTGTTCTGATCGTTATGTTTGCTACGTCGGCTTAGATGAATTGTGTTATCCTGGTGATCGGTGTGCCGATAATGCCATCTGTTCGGGTTGTGGTATATGTCAGAAATGTGATAATCCAGAAAATTGTGCCCAATTTCATTTGTGTCCCGATAATAGGGGTATGAATTCGCTGAAACGTTTGCTGCAGAGGCGCTTGATGGAATTTGGTGATAAATAAAGGAGTGACGGAAAATAAATTGATCTGATTAAATTGCTTATGATATAGAATACGGTTTAGGAAATATTTTATGTCATATGAGTATTGAAAAGAACTCCAGAAAAAACTAAAAAAAAAACAATAAAAAATGTAATATGAATATGTATCATATTAATAAGAATATAAACATGAATTATATTGATATATTGAACATGCATGTTTAATAAATATAACATACTAAACATATATTTATGGAATTCTATGATTAAATGAAATGGGGTTGAAACTGCTCCCAGAATTCTGATTATCTATTATGCGACTACAGAGAATATTTTAATGAAGCTAGACCAGAAAGACCAATAAGCAGACAGGATAAAATATTTTTTTCTTTTATGTATTCAATAATACAACTACTCTCCCAATGTTATTTCTCTTTTATTTTTTGCCGAAATGAGAATATCCACTAAAAAATTACAATTATCAAAAATGTACTGGGAAAATTTCAATTTTAATTAGCTGATTTAAAAACAAGCTGGATAATTTGATGACTAGCTGAAAATCATTTGTTTTTAAAAACAGTTGTGATTTAAAAGTGAAAACTAATAATCTGGAAAAAAATCTGGATGGTATTTTATAACACAAAATAGGAAATGCCGAATAAATCACAGGACACCTTTTCCACATTTTTTATGTAAAATGTAAGAATTAATTAATTTTTTACACAAATCAGCTGAATTCTTGATTGTAAATCGATAACATTTCGAAGTTATGAAACAGCTGATCTTCCTTATAAAATTAAATGTTTTGTGAACTTTACCTTAATTTTGTATTATTAAACATTAAAATGGATGAAGAAAACGCAATGATTTATAAAAATGGTTTATATATAAATAGTTTGTTGTTTTAATCAGCTGTGTCTATACAATATTTTTACATTTTGCAATTTCCCTTTTGAGATCGAAAAATTCGTATTGACTCTCTTCTTACTAAGTAAATGTTACTGGGAAAGAAAACGAACGAACCTATCTTTTGAGAATGTTTGTTTTGAAACAAAATGCATTTTAGTTATTTGATATTAAAGAGCAATTGCTGAAGAATTCCGAATAATAACAACAAAAAAATTCATTCTCAGAATTGTCAAAATTTTTTTAAAATTCTACAACTGTCAGTTCGGCTCTCTTAGAACACGTTTAGACTACTAAATCCACTCGATTCAAAATATCAATTCCACCTTAATCATGGTCACAAATCTAGTGGATTATATTTGACGTATACGCTATGGAATTGACATTCGAAATGGAGTGGATGTCGTAAATCTGAACATGAGCAGCACCCTGTAAACAGCTGTACAAATAATGGGGTAAACGAACAGGTCTATGGAAACACATCCTCTGTATAGATTTTCATGTATATGACCAAAACTTAATAAATACATGTCATTCATTTGCAACATCATTTTTGTTTTATTTATAACATTTAAAAATACATAAAACATTAATATGGAATACATTTTTCTAAAGATATATACTTTTTTATACCAGCCCTTAAAGAATCAACATTTTCAGCTACTTTTTCCGCATTTAATTTTCACTATTTTCCAACATACGCTTCTCCATGTAGCGCTTGAAAAGATTCATACCCTTAATGCCGGGACATAAACGAAAATCGGAACACTTTTCACGGCTTTCACATTTCTGGCAAATTCCACAAATCGTACAGATGGCATTGTCGGCACAACGATCTCCCGGGTAGCACATTTCATCCAAACCCACATAGCAGACATAACGGTCAGCACAATTATGAGGATCATGATTTTCAATGTAGCCGCCATATTTACAGGGTCGCCAAATGCTGTGGACTTCATTTTTTCCCGGACAGCGTATATTGGGATTGGATTCAAATAAATTACTGGCCACCAATTCTCGAAATCCAATTGCCGAAGAACATTGCAAACAACACGATAATGCCACCAACAGGAACACCAGCATGCCTTGATGATTGCCAATGGATGGCGACTTCTTGGAAATGTATTGAGACATGCTGCTTTCTTTGGTTGTGTTCCTTGTCTTCTGTGCTTTCTGTTTGTCCTGCGTTTTTCTTTTATAGCCAATTGTAATTTAATTCATAATTACAGGGCTTTTCGCCAGCCCTTAATTTATGCAATAATTTACATTTAATGAGGGTGGGCGTTAATGTAGATGCGATGTAGATTTATTAACATCCAGTAGCAGAATTTCATGGTCAGTGATTTTGTTCCGTTTGTGAATAATTCAAATTCAACGAGAGTTGTGGCTATTTTACAATGGATGATGTCCGCAATATTCTTAAATATGAAATTTTAAATTGTTTAATTATAGGAGTACACAACTTTACTGTCCTTTCGGAGATAATATCTCGAGTGTTTTAATCTAAGATAAACTGACATTTATCTAAAAATCACTGACCATAAAATCATGTCAATCAACAGGCTCATTTAATGTAAAATTATGTTAAAATGGCGGGGCTACAATCATTGGGACAATAATCACAAAATGTACCTATAAAAGGAAATTAAAAAACCAGTAAGAGCCATTAAGAAAGTATAACATTTGAGGCAGGAAACACACATCGAACAAAATGTTCCGAACATCATCAAAAAAATATATTACCAGGCGATTGCTGCTACTTCTACTGATTTTATCCACCTCTTGGCAATGTTCCTTGGCATTTGGAGTGCGAGACTGGTCAGGTAGTAACATTTTCGATATCAATCCCAATATACGCTGTCCGGGAAAAAATGAAGTCACCAACATTTGGCGTCCCTGTAAATATGGTGGTTACATTGAAAATCATGATCCCCATAACTGTGCCGATCGTTATGTTTGCTATGTCGGATTAAACGAAATGTGCTATCCGGGAGATCGTTGTGCCGACAATGCCATGTGTACCGTTTGTGGAATTTGCCAGAAATGTGAAAGCCGTGAAAATTGTTCCGATTTTAGTTTATGCCCTGGTATTAGAGGAATAAATCTATTCAAACGTTTAATGGAAAAACGAATGATGAACATAACTGATAATTAAAGGAATCGATTTGAAATATAAAGACCTGCTGAAAGAAATATTTATTTCAATGTATTTTGTTAAAAACTAATTGGAATATGTAAATATGTTTAGAAATTATATAAAATAAAAATATAAACGCAAATTACTAACAGGCTTTGTTTAAATATTCAAACTCATCCGTTCATGTTTTTTTTTTTTAATTTAACAATTAAATTAACAATTAAAAAATTGTTCAAATACTTCAGTCGTCAACAAAAATTATGACGTCGTCACATTTTGTGGAATACCAAAAAATGTGTCAATAGCTATCGATAAATGTCGATACCGACATAGGGAATACCAATTTGCAAAAGACGTCTCTCTACGAAGTCGTTTTGTGTCGACGACGACATACGGAGTAGGGGTAAATATAATATTAATGTACGCCCCATATTAAAGTCACATCTGCTTTTTTGTATTTTGATGGTCCTAGTCGAAGTTTCCGAACTGTAAATTTTCTGTTTGTAATTCGGTACTTCGTTTACTTAGAGGATAAACCTCAACCATATAAGGTCCCGAACGATTTTAGATATTTAGAATGCCCATCTACGCGGTTGTGGGTATAAAAAGTTCGCCCCGGCATAATTAAACGAAGTTTTCCCTTGTTTCAGAATTCTCTCAAAGTGTGCAATTTCCCTGAAATTCGAAAATATATCCCACGGGATTTTAAAATTGTACCAAATGTCCAATAACCAATAAATTACTGACAACACCTAAAATATTAGATTCGTGTTTTTCACAGTAACATTCACAACTAACATTCATAAACAGTAACATGTTGTATAAAAATAAATATTTATTTGTTTATTTTTAATACGTTATTATTAACAAAGAAAACACACAAAAGTTAAAAAAGAACAATTCGGTTTTCTTATTTTATCCAAATACAAATAGTGCAGTAAAAAATATTCTATTCACACGAGGATTCGAGAAAAATAATACATTTAGGTGTGGAATGCAAAAAAAACAAACAAACGAGATTTCAATGCAATAAAAAATACTTAATACTATTGCCCAATGAATTTAATTAAATACCAAAAAGACCCTTAAGATCATCCATACTAAGTTTGCTACCCTCACTGGCGCCTGCACCGGTCAACACACCATTGGCCAAGGCCATTTTGTGATCTTGCAAAGCTTTAATGCGCTCTTCCACAGTCTCTTTGCACATGAACTTGTAGATGATGACATCCTTTTTCTGGCCAACACGATATACACGATCTTGGGCCTGTGCCTCCAATTGCGGATTCCAGTGTAAATCGATGAGTAGTAAATGATTGGCACCAACTAAATTTAAACCAACACCACCAGCCGTCAGCGATAGTAGAAGAATGCGTTTACTGCTCTTGGGGCTATTAAATTCCGTAACGATTTCTTGGCGGTTTTTCACAGCTATAGAACCATTCAGAGAAAGTGTTGCAACATTTTCCCGCTCAATGTGTGTTTTTAGGATATTCAAAACGCTCGTCCATTGTGATACCACAATAGCCTTATCACCGGCAGCTAAAACACGCTCCTTTAATACTTCCATTACTTTAACCATTTTCGAGGAGGGTCGATCCAAGTTAAATACTGGATTGTTACGTTGCAGTACACGTGCCGAGGCCTTGGCCAGGACTTGCTCTTCAGGTCTCAGTGAAGTGTCGGGTTCATTTAAACTATTGCTCATCATTGTTGCACTATCGTTTTTATCGGTAATGGCTAGTTTATTTAGTTGTTCTAATAAATCTATTTCTGGATGTGAAACATCACTATCAGTGTCGATATGTTGAGCATCTTCATCTTCTAACATCTGGAATAAAACAATATTTATGTTGGAAATATAAAACCAAAAAGTATTCAAACAATTCAAATACCCACCGAATCAATTAGCCCGGCATGACAACAAATTTGTCTCAACCTCAGTAAAAGAACCAAAATTTCATGAGATTTGATTTCTTTTGTACCCTGGTGAAGTTTCGTAAATTTCTTATGCATTCTGTAGTAAGCATCATTGGGATCCTTCGATTGCATAAATGTAGGCTTAGAACTCTGATCGCGATAATGTAAATCGGTATTTCGTTCAGCCCTCTGGAACAGAAACTGGGCAAATAAGGTTCGCGAAAAAATCATAATCTTTTGGTAGACATTCATTTCCTCCTTATCCAATTCTACTTCAATTAATTCAATTTCTTTTTTGGGCAAGCACTGTAGTTCACCACGATCTTGTAGCTGGGCCTTGGTGCGTCTTAACATAAGTGATTTCATAATTGTATTCAGACGTTGTTGGCCACCAGCACTTTTATCAATCCACTTCTTCCAATGCGCAAAATCATCGAATGGAGAACAGCGTAGAAATTTCAACAAGGCATATACATCCATTTCTTTGTTTTGAATGGGTGTACCGGTCAATGCCCACCTATTTTTACCTTTTAACTCACACACTGCCAGCGAAGACTGTGCTTTATGATTGCGCACGACATGGGCTTCATCGAGAATTATACGTTTCCACTTTATACCAAACAAGGCCCCAGTAGTCTTGTGTTCACGGGCCACAATATTATAGGTCGTAACCACCAGATCATAGGTACGTAAATGTTTGGGTTTGGAATCACGATTATTGCCATGATGTACACAAACTGTTAATCGATGTCGTGAGACTTTTGTTTGGGCTTCATCTTCCCATTGACGCATTAAACTGGCAGGACACACAACCAGGGTACCACCGGGGTAGTCTGGCAAAGAGAAAAATAATGGAATATACAAAAAATGAATAACTTATAACTAAAGGAATGTACTTACAATCCCTTCTTCCTTTTGAGGACCATCCGGTTTTGGGTTCTTCGTCATCATCCGATTCACTGTCTTCCTTATCATTTTCATCGTCCTCTTCCTCCTCTTCGCGATTTTTGCTAGCCAAAACCAATGAAATCATTGTTAAAGTTTTACCCAGACCCATATCATCGGCCAGAATACCGCCACGGGGTTTTTGTTTTTCACGCCAGAACATCCAAGCCAAAGCATGTTTTTGATGATCCATTAGAGTGACTTTAAGGCCCTTGGGATCATCAGCTAGGACATTTTCTGCCGGACAACTTTCCAAAGAGCCATGTAGATCCTAAAAGAGATTTATTTTTGAATGTAATAGGTATTTACCAAAACAAATAACAATTTCCAAAAATATATGCGAGTCTACTTCAGTAAAATGTGTGTGTGAAAGGATTCTAATCAATAAATGTTAAATTTAATTGACCTCCAATGGAAACTAAACACATTAACTCATGTTGTAGTTTCGTCTTCAGCTGTCAAAGAAATTCAGACACTGTATTCAGATATCCGTTCTATGTTTTCATCATTAGCAAAAAGTAATATTGAATGAATCATCTTTTCTATAACATACCTTAAGACGTTCTATTGTTAAAACTTTTTGATTGTTAAATGTGGCCATGCCCTGCTTGCCAGTATGTGTTGGCTGTATTTGATTTACAGCTGCCGAAAGATCATCCCAGTCAGGCGGTGCATTGTTGTTGAAGAACGCCTTACGCTGCTTCTGTATATCTTGCAATTTCTGTGATGGTGAATCTTTATCCTCTGGTGGATATAAAGGGCCACTTGCTCCCGGAGCATCTTCAATATACAAAGAGGCAATGTATTTTGATTTAATGGCCACATCATTACGCAATCGCTCTATACGCAGTGATAACTGTTTACCACCATCTGGCAATGATTTGGATATTTTTTCCAAAAGTTTTTCCGCATTCAGAAGTTCCGCCTTCATTTCTTCAAATTTCCTTATTTCTTTGTCATAGTATTCTTGAGAGACATGTCTCAATTTGGCCTTATTCATAGGGGTTTTCATGGCAGGTGCTACATTATTTAAGGCGGCCATAATTTTTGGTTGTACCAAATTTTTCTGGGTTGTTGTATTTGTATTTGTGTGTGTTCTATTTTCCTTATCATCTTCGCTGTCGACTTCATCGGAAGACAATACAATGGGTTTTTCAACTTTCTCAATAATTTGTATATCACTGTCGGCGGAAGAATCTATTTCGGGAGCAACATCTCGTGGTTGATATAATGTAGATGATAATTTATCTTGAATCTCCTTTTCAAAATGTATGGAATAACGTGGTGCATGAGGAGAATTCGCACTAGACATTGCATTGCTGGCAGTTTTAGGTGAGGATGTGCTGGAATTTTTTTCACTGGAAGATTCTGCTATTTCGGAATTGCTTGCCATTTCAGATTTGTCCGCATTGCCCTCTGAATGATTCATTGTGGAACTATGTATATCAGACTTTTCTTCCGCTGAGTTTTCTATAAGGGAATTTGGTTCTCTTGTGTCGTCGTCTTCCTCATTATCACCATCTTCCGTTTCCGTGCCCGATTCACCATCTTCTTGGTCATCGTTGTATACTTCAGATATATTACTTAGCCCGCCCTTTTTCTTCTTACCGCTACCTTCGCCTTCTTCATCTGAATATTCTATTTCACTACTATCATCCGTTAAATCTGCCGGTCTAACTCCAGTAATGCTCATTCTGGTTCTGGGTGAAAAAGCCCGTTCTTCCAGCTCTTCTTCCTCTTCCTCCAGCTCTGTATCGGAATCGATTATAGCTTTTTTCTTTTTCTTTCCCGCTCCTTTGTTTCGTTTCACCACAATCATGCTTTCATCACCATCAGATGTGACATCCGAATCCTCAACAGTTAACTCTCTACTTGGTGGACGATTCCTGCTATCGTCCATGACACTGCCATCATACACTTGACTATCTTCTTGCTCGCCATCGCTCGTTTCAATTTCTTCTTCATTAGTTGATTCTTCATCACTGGTTATGATCTCATCCGAATCCGACATTTTACTCTATGACCTATATTTGTGAAATTCCAAACTAAAATCAAACGTTGAACAATGAAATTTTTCGAAAAAATGCTTCCACTCTGTTATTCTTTCAAAAGCAGACCGCCAGTAAAGCAAAATGTCAACAATGACCTAGACAGCCGTTTTATTTAAAATGGCGGCGTATGACGTATGGCGACTAAAGAAAAGTGATAACTGAACAATGTTATGTTTACATAGGTGATCGATAAACAAACAAATAGATTCTAGGGAAAAAATGTTATTTATTTGAGAGAATATTTCATCCAAATAAAAATCCATAAACAATACTTAAATCTACTTATTTATATATTGGGGAGAATTGGTTAATAAAACGGCGAAAAGAAATCAAAACATTGTTTATATTTACTGAAATATTTTTAGAAACACAAATTTTGCCATTACTGGATTTATATTTTCTAGAAATAAAAATTTAAAAAAATATGCTCTGTCAATATGAAAAATTGCAATATATTTTTATACGCAATTCTTTTCTGGGTAATAGTACATTTATACTGTAACAGCTTTATTAAATATAGTAGAAATTAAATTTCAATTCCATTACATATATGTAAAAAATACTCATAAAGGAGATTAAAAGTTCGATTAGGTTTACGAAGTTCATTCGATCTCAAATGTAAATTCCATAGCGTATACGTCCAATATAATACACTGGATTTGTGAATAGGTTTAACCTGACATATACGCAATGGAATTGACATTTGAGATCGAGTAGTCTAAACGCGCTCTTCCCCGGCAAAAAGTTCTAATGTAAATGCCGCATGTATTTACATTACACTTTGGGATAAATAAAATCGTACACATAAACGGCATTTACAAAAGAACTTGATTTTCTAAATCCAGTGCAATGTAAACATACTAATACGCATTAATTTAGGTATGACCTAATATAACTTCATTTTAAAAAAGTTTTGAAAAAACACAATCAATCTCTTTTTTAAATTAAAAATTCTTATAAACACTACTTAAGCATATCACGTTTCAACGAACACAACTGCACAGCGATGCGCCCACAATTAACGTTAGCCGCCTCCTCAAAAGTACACCTATGCCTACTCAACGCCGTTAGAAACAATAAAATTGTCAGCTCAGTGCTCTAATAAATAGTCGCTCTCAAAGGAAAAAGTCAACTGCTGTGAATATTTTTGATAAATTTCCAATTAAAAACTTAAGAATAAACAATGACTGGAATCATGGATACCGTAGAAATGCCAAAATTACCCGAAAATCAAAAATCCTTTGCTGGAATACCCGAAGCAATATTTTTAGTGAGTAAATCTTGTACGGCTGGTCATATTTACGGTCACCATAACCTACAAACCCTGGATGAAACAGGGTGCTCTGACTCACACAGTGACAAATGACTGACTGGCCATGTATGGAAGTCCTGGACCACTGAATAACAATACCCCTTTTTTGTTTCTTTTCTCGATATGATTAATAGGAAGAAATTGACAGCTTTATGAGTCAACCAGAAAATGAAGAAAATTGCGAAAAAGTTTTGCAACGTCTTGATGAACAGCACAGTAAATACAGATTTATGGCATACAATTTAGAGGCACGCAAACGTAAACTGAAGTCTCAAATACCCGATTTGCAGAGATCACTGGAAATGATTGATGTATTGCGCAAAGAAACCGAGGAACGTGAAACCCAATTCTTGTTGAGCGATCAAGTGTTCATTAAAACCATTGTGCCACCCACCAAGACAGTGTGTCTATGGTTGGGAGCCAGTGTTATGTTGGAATATCCTCTAGATGAGGCTGAAGTATTGTTGAAACAAAACATGACCTCCGCCATATCGAACTTGAAGACTGTTGAACATGATCAAGATTTCTTAAGGTACGCTGGATGTGGATAGACAATTATATTGCAGTTTATTTATATATTGTATTTCCTTTCTATTGCAGAGATCAAATTACGACCACCGAGGTGAATATGGCTCGTGTTTATAATTGGGGTGTCAAAAAGCGCCAAGCTGCCGTTAAAGCTGCTGGTGGTGCCTCAACTTCATCGTAATAGACATTTTTAAAGAAGCAAATGTGTGATTTCACTTCTTTTTCATAATGTATGCTTGGAATACTGTATCACCAATATAGATTCTCGACGTTGATTATTAGCTACAACAAAACTTATACGGATCACAACCAAATCAACCATTAAAAAAAAACAAATGAACATTTTTTATTCACCGAACAAATCGTATTTAAATATTTGTTTGTTTTGCATTCTCTTTATTTATTTGTATCTATTAACAAAGAATTCAATTATAAATTGAGCAAATTAGTAACACAATGAAGAGTGCATCTGTATTTAAGCTTCTTCAAAACAAAATTACTCTCTTACATACTTAAAATACAGTTTGTGCATTTACAAAAGATTTGGCATTAATAGCCAAATTATATTAACATGAGAAAAATAAAACAAAATGCTTATTTAAAATTCGATAAATATTAAAATAGACAATTTTTATTTCGTCTTGCATGGGGATGTTTGTTATCCAATGATTGCATTATACGAAGGCGACATTTCCATGGACAGACGGGACTTCAGCACTGTGGGGCCAACTTGAAGTTAAAAAAAACAAGACTACTGCATCACGTGAGGGAACGTCAAGAGATGGTGGTCGTTCCCTAAGCGTAATAGTTTTGCAACAATTCAAGCCGAGGTGATACATTTCGGACCTCCAGTAATTTCTTACGTTTCCTTTACAAACTATAACAATAGCCAGTGTTTTTTTTTTAGAAATTCGTAAGATGCTAATAATACTATAGCAACAATTCAAGCCGTGCTGATACATTTCCGAACTCCAGTAATTTCTTACGTTTCCTTTACAAACTAAAACAATAGCCAGTGTTTATTTTTCAATATATTTGCAAATTCACAAACAATAACATTTCGCCTACATTATTACAACAATATCCTAGGTGATATTAAATATCCCATTTTTTGGATTCTAGTATATATTCACCATCGGGCGATACATAATTGGGAATAGGTGGTGTAGCTACAGGACCCTTGATCTTAACTGGCAAAAGTGTCATATCGGGTTGTATGGCTTCTTGATATAGTTCTTCCGATTCCAAACGTAGCTCTTCCAGAGCTTTACGCTGTGACTGCATTATACGATCCATAATCTGATATTCATGCATTTTCTGTTCATGTTTATAACGTGACCATTGCTTGTTAAGTTGGATTCTCCTTTCCAGTTCTTCTTCACTCAATGGTGGTAAGACACGTGTACGTTGTCTGAATTAAAAAAAGATGTAGTATGATAGAAAAGTTCTTCCTGGGAACTCTAAAAAAATATATTTACTTTTTTTCATCTATCAACGTCAATGGGACCTCCAATTCCTCAATCGGTTTCAATTGGCGGGCATTCTTTTCCAAACGTCTAATTTGTTTTTCCAACTTCTTTTTACGCCTTTCTTCACGCTGCTTGATGATTTGTGGATCCAACTTCTTCTTTTTCTTCAGGGGTTCAGCACACAGTACCGGTGATGTATGGAGCCATGCCGTAGGTTGTGCCAAATATTTAGACGATTGCAATGTTAATCTAAATGAAATGTTATCTTTATTTTTCGCCACATTGGAGAATTATATTTTTATTACCTTGAGAATGCATTCAGTAAGGACATTGTGGAATAATTGTATAATTTATTTTAATATTTTTAAGCAAAACTCATTTATTCTTCCCTGCCAGGGAGAGTCTTGTCAAAAATGACAATGGTTTCATAACAACTGTTTTTTTGCTGTCGCAGCCGCACACACAATTCTGGCGGCAAGCGTCGGCGATTGTCGTTTTGGTTAAAGATGGTCTGTCTTCCATGGTACAATTATTCAAGGTAGGCCATAGTAACCTATAAATTATAATTTTTTCATATGGTCGCTTCTTATGCCAAAGTCATATACAAAATGTGTGACTGTGTGTGTAATGTTTTGAAAAAAAAAATATAGAACAAAATATATTCGAAAATCGTTATGTTTGAAGGTGAATTTTACAACAATTGTAAGAATTTATGTATGAATTGTGAATGAATCATCATTTAAATTGTATTTCCAACTCGATTTCGAAAAGAAAACCTGACATTCCATTAATTTTTCACGTTTTTGATAAAATGTTAAAAATATGTCAAATGAATAGAACGACAGCGAGTTACATGTTACTGTTTCGTGAGGTTTATGGACCCTCGAGACATTGTTGCTGTGGATGGTTTAAGTTATCGAGAGATTACTTTTGGTTTTTTATAATCGGAGTTGAATGTTATTGATCTGGACCATGATGCAATAATAAGGTGATGTATCACAAAAACAAAAACGTTTATTTTTGTCTCGACCATCTGTCAATATTTTCGTTATAATATTTCACATGGTTGGCAACATTGCACATGGAATTCAAGTAGAATTTTTGCACTATGACAGTTTATCGAGACATCAGCTTCGCTAAATGGACTACCTTTTTATTGTGCCATGATCTGGACATTTACTTTCTACAAGACAGCGATACATGTCGACACAATCAAAGAAATCACTGCATGGGAAATTTTCCGGAACAGTGTTATCTCTCTATATTGGCCACCAAGATATTGTGTACTAGCACCTCCTATATAACGTCTGAAGAATCTCCATCCTCAACGTGTAAATATCCACTATTTTTAATGTTACAATTTCGAGTTTAAAAAAAAGTTTAAATTTACCACTTTTATGCGTAATTCATGATCTTATTTGCTAAATGTTGACAAATCCTCGTTAAATGGCATAAAATATTTAATATTATTGCAACTGGATTTATTAAAACCTTTACAAATTATATTTTGCCATTTTTTCTACGTGTATACAAAACGTATTTACGTACGCTGCTATACGCTTCTCCAGCAATAAACAAACTGTCATTACTTTAACGCTGTGGCCACTCTCTTTTGTTTTGCAAAATAAAAACTCATAGTGTGGCAACATTGTCATATAATGCCAAAAATTGCAACATTGCTAATGAGCCGCCATGTTATTGTTGTTAATCCCAGTCGCAAAAACGAATTCATTGCAGCGTTATTAGTGAACATTTGCTCGACATTTCAGTACATTGAGTATTAAATTAAATTTGCCAAGAAAGTGTTAACGATTTTTTTTTGTTGGAAAAATAACTCAAGTGATTCTTCTATTAAGGTGAGTGGCCGGAAGTTATGAAATTTAACCAAAAATTCACTAGGGAACAAACGATTGCATTACCAATGATTTCAACAGACACCAGCCATGAGACAAAAGGGATGCAGAAAAATATTCTGTTACATTATTTGCAAGTTGAATGAACTCACTGTGATTGCTATTACATTGGTTTTGTAAGAGAAAATGTCAAAGAAATTTCCTTAAATTCTATTATCTTGCTTAGTTTTAGATATGAATATTAAAATTTCTACAAATTTCCGTGCATTTTTTTCTGATTACAAAAACAACTGTAAAAAACTGTTGACAGCTGCTTGACGCTGTCTGTAGTGGCGGCTGAGACAACTGCGTTAACCGCATGCCGGAACATATTCCGTCTGTAGTTTTGCGCCTTTTTTGCAGATGTTTCTGCAAAGTTTAATTTTTGCAAAAAAATTAAAACACTAAACAGGGTTACCAACACTTGCTGTTTGGACACAAATTAATCATCATTCAAAAATTCTTGGGGACAAAACATTGAATGACCGGCCGACCGCACGCCAACGATTTTGTTTATTGTGCGTTGAAAAATGGTAACGAACCTGCTGATGCGCGGTTGCTCTTCTTCCCCCCACGTTCACATGCTTGTAACAATGTCATTGCACTTTATCGTGCATTTTTAAATTCGGTGTCCGACACCGAATTTTTTTTTTTAATTTTTCTGAAAATTTTTACATTTGTATACACACATCTGTAGGTAGAATTTTGCTGCTGTTATATGCATTGAATTGGACGGATGGATTGGATGGTTTAGCTGGTTGATTGGTGGATGTTTTTATAAATGAAACACGTTTTGATTTTAACTCTTGTGCATGAACTCATTCATGGCGTTGTATGTGTGTATGTATGTACATGTGCAAATGTTTGAATATATTTTATGTACAAAACTCGATGTGAAAAATACCGGCAGTGTATTGTAATTTATTTGGATTGAAAGCGGACAAAGACACCGTAATTTTTCCCTTCAAAATATTCCGTTTGCTTTGATCTAGATGATTTACAGTGAAACCCATTTAAATGTAATTGGGAATATTTAAAAGGATTCATTCTTGGGAACGACAGTTTTTGTCAAGAAATATCTGGTCTGTTCCCGTACTGCAAGAATCCTACTACATTTTACTACCATACAATTTTTATATAAAAAAAAAAAACAGTAAGAAAGTAGTAAAGTCGGACATTTTACTACCATACAATTTTTATATCAAAAAAAAAAAAGAAAAAAAAAAACAGTAAGAAAGTAGTAAAGTCGGACTGGGCCGATTATGTGGTACCGTTGTGATGAATTTGTGTGTCAATCGGACAAACTTTAGGTCTTTAGTGCACAATCTACATAAAATCGGAAGAAAATATATATGGGGGGCTATATCTAAATATGAACCGATTTTCACGATACTTTACACACATTATTCAAGACATAATTCAGTACGCTACGCCATATTTCGTGTAAATCGAAAGATATACAGGGCCTTTGATGTACCATTTACATTAAATCGGAGGAAAATATATATGGGAGCTATATCTAAATTTAAACCGATTTTCATGAAACTTAGCAGACATCATTCTAGACTTGATGCAGTACGCTATTATAAATTTCATGCAAATCGAAAGAAATATAGAGACGTTGGTGCTTCATTAACATAAAATCGGGCAAAAATATATATGGGAGCTATATCTAAATCTGAATCGATTTTCATGAAACTTAACACATATCAGTCTTGACTCAATCCAGTACTCTATCAAAATTTCGTACAAATCGAAAGATATATAGGGACTTTGGTGCACCATTTACATTATATCGGACGAAAATATATATGGGATCTATATCTAAATCTGATTTCCACAAAACTTGACTGTATTAAATTTCATCCAAATCGGATTGTAAATGCGACCTGTACTTTGTTTACGATGTAACATCAACAGACAGACGATCATGCCTAAATCGACTCGGAAAGTGATTCTATTCTTATTCTGAAAAGGAACCATGGGTCTATCTCGATTGCCTGTTACAAACATATGCACAAAGACATAATACCCTGTACCACAGTGTGTTGAAGGGTATAAAAATAAACAGTTTTTCCGCAAACAATTTTTTATCGACGATATTTAATATCTAAACTATTTTCTATAGACTATTTTGTTATCAGCATCTCTGGTTATAAATTAGAATATTTTAAAAATCATGGTTTTTAATTAAAACCGATTTCTATAAGATCTCTCTACAATTCTTAACAAATTTCTATAAATTTCCAGCATTAAAAAATTAATATGTTATTTAATGTTGATACGCCAGTCTCCCACCCAATCGTCGTTAAATAATAAATGAAACTTTTCATTTGTTTTAATTACATGAAATAAATTCCACTTTTATTTTCAATAGATAATTTTAATATTCATTATTTGTTTGTTTTATTTTTCTCTTAAGGCAAAGCGTTTACATAAAAATACATTTTGTTCATTTCATGGTTATTTCATGTTTCTTTGTTTTGTTTTATTTTTATAATTTATATATAAATTATGTGTTGTTGTTGTTGTTTAAAAAGCAATCAAAAGCATTGCATTTCAATTCATCTCTTTTTTAACACAATTACTTTGTTTTCTTTGTGTATGTCAAAAAATAGTTGTGTTTTTATTTATATGCTATAATAATTTATATTTATTTCTAAATATTTAAAGTTTATTTATTTCGTTTGTATGAAAAAGTTAACACATAATAAAAATAATGATGAGGTTCGATGATATAAGTATTTTTGTTAATAACTTTTTTGCAGCAAATCAAATTAAGAATATCTTTCGTAAATAGTTTTACTATAATATTTAACATATAGACAAACTGCTATGTTTTAATTACATCGGAATAGACTTGATTTGGGGTTTCTTATTTTAGTTTTCTTTCTGTTTTTTTTAGGGGAATATTAATAAAAATATAATATTTATTTAGTGGTAATTGTATAGATTTGTTTTTATTTTGAAAATAAAGGCCATTTGATTCGCTTTGTTTATAGATTGTTTTTTTTAATAGCACACAATAATTTGTTGTATATTAAAATAAATATTTAATTAATATTATTATAGTAGATAGTATAATAATATATTATTTACTAAAAAGAGCTTCAAGCGAGAATTGTATCTGGGTATTTTTGTGTGTTTGTTTATTTTTGATTCAATTTATATAAAATTGCAAAAAAGATTTTATGAAAAATAGCTGTTGTTTTATAATTTTGAATTTATATTTCACAGAAGTTTTTTAAGTAAATTTACAAGGCATTGTGTAGATTTTTTGTTTTTGGTTAAGAGGTTTAAAAAAGGAAAACTAATGTGACATATTTAAATTGATATTAAGCCTAACGAAACGCAAGATTGATTTTCCGCGTGGAAAATTGAAAGATTTAGAATTAAATTCAGTGAAACCTTATATGTTGTTACCGTCGTTAAATAATGAGGAGCATACACCTCCAACATATTTTCTAACATTAAACAAAAAAAAAAAAAAAAAAAAAAAAATATATACACTCGCGAGATTTTACTGTCTTCGTCAGTGGACATTTCTTCTCTTCAAGAAGGAAAGCCCATCAATATACCGTCATCTGAATTTATCTGGGGGACAATTTAAAAATGACCCGAAACGCTCAACAAACAGCACTGCCACATCTGGATCTCAGATATTGTTGAGAAGACTTTCAATCCTCTTTGGTGTCGTATCTAACTATGATTTCATGTGATAGGAGTTGGTTGATGTTGATCTGAACAATGTTTGCTTTCAACAAGACGGACCTACATTTCACATGATATAAACATTCCAATCTTATGTTACAAAAGTACAATTTCCCTGCATATAGGAATAACACCTTTTATTGTAATACTTTAAATTCATTTCGAAATTTTGCAAACAAAATGAACGTAATTACACAGAGGAAAATATTTATTATGATATACTTATATATTCCCCCGTTTCTTTTCGGCTAGTATCAATTAAATATGCCCCATTATTATATTACATACATATGTATTTTAATACTATAAATATAAAACATTAAATTCAAATACATAAAAAAATAAAGAAAGACTCATCTGATAATTGTAATAAGCAAATTGGTTCTTTTTTTTCTTTGTGATTAGTAATCTAAAAATTAGTTTTTGTTTTTTTTTTCATTCTTTTGTAAATATATAATTGATGCAGTTGAGTTATTTTCTTCCATTCATCTAAGAGTTTAGCAAGTTTTTGTTTGAAAAGAAGTTTTAGCTTGGCTATTGGTTAGTTATTTTACAAACATTAATAATATCTCTAGCATTTCGTCAGGCTACAGTTGTTGCTGATGATGGTTTCTTTTTTTTTTTTTTGATAATTTAATTTGTCATAAAATGTTTTTGGTTGTAAATTCCTCTACCCAAATACTTAATGCTATTGATTTCTTTTCCTTTTTAAATAGTATTTGTTTTGTTTGCTTGTTTTGTAAATGAAAAGCTTATATAATAATATATAATTCCCATTTTTCATTTGTTGTATTTTTTCTTTTGTTTGTTTTGGTTAATAAATCTTAAGGTACTCGAAAACTTGCATTGATGATGAAAATGCTTTTAAAAAAGTCATCTAGCCACAAACTTTTCAAACTTTGTTCCCTCCATCTTCGGAAAAAATTCTGAAGAAGTTTGTTTTATATTTAATTTCAAGAGAACAAATTTTAATCTCATCATTCAATATAAGAGTAAATTGAGTGGCTGGCTGTTGTGGGGGTGTTTTTTTTTCGTTTCACCTTTAAATCATCAATGTTGAAAATGGATTATAACGCATTATTTTCGATAAGAGTATCCACAGAACTGAGGTAATGGCACATAGGACAACACCACCCCAACCTAAATCCAAACTCCAAGAGGTTAGAAATACCCTGGCGCCCAGTAAATTTTTGGCCATTATTGCTGGTCCACCGGGACGGGCGACAATGCCATCCACAGTACCATCATAATCACTGTCCAGCATGGGTCGACCTTGTTGGCGTTTGAAATGGATTATCATTAGTGTGAATAATGCAAACAATGCTGGAAATAGAAAAAAAAACAATGAAAAATTTAAAAATTATATATTATGTTCTTTTACACACCTGCTAATAAATACATAACCCCTGTTATTAAAATTGCACTTATTTGCCTTTGGCAAACCCCAAATGCTCCCACCAATGCCGCACTGCCCAATATTATCAGACACACCAGTGAACAGGAAATTGACAAATTTTGCATTCCTGAAAATTGCATACAATTATGTTATTAATATTTTATATAATATTGGATTTGTAAATATTAGATTTAATAAATGTTTTACAATAGTTTCCATTAGCTACTACATAGGAAATCTGAAAGTTAAGATATTTAAGTATTACATTATTTTGTAATTGAATTAAATGGAAAATTGCAGTGCAAATAAAAGAGGGCGTTGCTGTTGTCGAAGGAAATGTGTTGAAAGCCAGGAAAATTAAGGAAGGTTTTTTGTCCAATAAGAAGTGTTATTTTTGGTATTAAAAGAAAAATGTTTTAATTTTTATTTCGTAATAAAGGAAGAAGTTGCATGGTGTTAAATCACCAGATCACCTTTTCCCGTAAAGGAAAATGGTTTCATTGCTAGAGTGGCACGTAGCACCAAGTCGGACATTCTAAGTAGATTTTTACGCTGATCATGAATATATTCGGTTGGGGAAAAAAATCTATTATTTTAATATTTTATTATTTTTAGCTCCTTGCCGATGTTACGACTGCTAACGTGCCGGTAATTTAATTTAATCGATTTTATCGTCATTTTCGACGACCGGCCTACCTGTGCGAGGTGCATCCTTAACATCAAAAATTCCTTATAGTTTAGCTCATCTCCTTCGACAACCGCAATAAAAACATAACACTTCACGCCTACAAGCCACACATTAAAAGGCAAACAATTTCGGTATATATAGTAAAATTAGACATGTAACATTTTTTTGAAAGTGTTGGTAAATTGAAGAAAACTTTTTGTAATAGTGATTTGTTTTCTACTCGAAATTGTGTGGTTTATAAACGGAATTTCTTGTAGAGCATAATAGAGAAATTATTTATAAAAATATTGTATATATTAATATATTTTTTATTCTTGACATATTTTATTTATTGAAAATGAAATCTAATAAGCAGCAAGACCAAATGAACGTGAAAATCTCGAATGATAGATGATGTTGCAAGCCACAGCAAATTTAACAAAATAACAAGAAATGCTTAAATAAATATATATCGGTTATTTGAAGTGAGTTATTCGATGTTCTCAAGCGATTGTTTTTTAAAAAGGCGTTTATTTGCCATTAAAATGTTTGTAACAATTTGTTTTTTTTTTTAATTTTTGTTTTTGTAACAACTTAGAAGTCGATACCTCACCATTTACAAAGTTCATTTATATATAAATACATAATTTTTTAATTTATTACAGCCTTCAAATCTTCTACTAACCCTTTATATTCCGATGAAAGTAAATCAAATTTCTTAAGGAATTAATGTAGAAATGTTTTCGAACTTATTTGTCGTTTCTTACTTAATACTCTTAATACTCTATCACATAAGCATTCACTTTCTGACATAATTCTAATATTTTCCCCAATTCTCTTGAATTGAGTGACATTAATGTCATGTTTACCAAAAATTGCACTTTGACAGTTGTTAAAATGGACCCAACAACAACAACAGTGTCCATTAATGTCAGCATAAATTTCCCAAATCATCTAAAGTTTTGTTTTTTGTTGTTGAAAACATATGTGACATATATCCTTTCTCCTTATTCGTATTCACCCGCAAAGTCCTGCCATTTGGTTATTTAGTCATTCTTCATTCAACCATTATCGTCCTCTCTTTTTTTTGACCATCAAACGTAATGAAATGTAATTGCTTTGCAGCTTTGCTCTGGCGCATTATCATAATCCGAATAATGGTAATCGTGCTGTAGAAGTTGAATCATACAGAGGTTTTATTTTTATGATGTTGTTGGTGATGTATGTGTTGTGGCTGGTCATTTATTCACACCATCATCACACACACCACCGCACCACGAGACACACAATTTATATGTAGTACAAAAGTATTTTTGGTTAAATTCGTTAGAATTTAATTGGTAATGTTTTGGTAATAGCAATTATGGTAAAACATATTTTTGTTAGGATTGTATTATGTGAATGAGATTATAATGTGGTTTAAAGCATTTAATGCAAATTTTATTAATGCATGATACATTTTTTAATTGTATTCCACATATGCTTTAATGTGGTATAAAAAAAACAATTAGTAAAATTTAAATAAATTTATTTTTAATAGACAAATTTAAAAAGGATTAAAACTGAATTTTGGTAATTTTAGAGAACTGAATTGAAGGGAGATTTATAAAGATGAAGAAAATATTAGTTTTAAAATCCACGCATATAATCCAGATAGATATTGAAAAAAACACATTATAAAAATGTTAACGTATAGTTCTGATATCCCTTGCACGCTTATAGCCCTTGGAAAATATTATTTTAAAAATCCACGCGTATAGCCCTTGGAAAATATTATTTAAAAAATCTTTGGAAAATATTCTATATATATATTATTTATTAATCTATATTAAAAAATTGTTTCATATAACCATGGAATGAGTAAAATAAATCGCCCCTCATATGTTTAAAATACAATAAAGAAAAACATTTTCACCCTGCAAGAGGCTACCACTGCGCTCTTTCCTTCTTCAAAATCATTGAACCATATCTAAAATTGAACTTTAAAAGCGTTTTGTCCCGTGATGTCGAAAGAAAGTGTGTGTGACACAAATAAAGCATATCCTTGAAATAACTTATACACTTCATGGAATAACAAAAGAACGGAGCAATATATACATTTTTTAGATTAACAATAAAAACAAGCTAGTGGGGAAAAACAAATCTGAATTGTACACAACTGAAACCTAACAAAAAATGTCATTTAGATTTTTTTGTATGTTATGATTTTGATTTGGATTTTATTCCCTCCTCTATGCAGCCGAACAAGGCAAATCTTATTATTAGGTATCATTTGTTGTCCATATCATTTCATTTTGTTATTTTTAGTATCCTATTGTGGTCTCAACAATAGTAAAAGTAGCGGTGTCTACTATTGCTAATGTTGAGTCCAAAAAATAGACCATAAATTGTTCTACAATTGTGATGATGTGATATTAGATATTCGGTGCCAAATTTGGCAGGCAATGACTCATGAAAAGATAAATATAGTAGGAAGGTTAATACATTCATTAGCCACCTGCTACTTTTAATCAAAAAGAGGAAATAGAGGTTAGGTTATTCGAAATTCATATATTTATATAGTTATAGTTTTTGGTTCCATGGAGGGCAATGAAAATAATGCAATTGAATATGAAATCCATTACTTGGTAAATGTATTTGGATGACGTGGGGGATTTGTGTACACATTTGGCTCGTTGATTCTATGATGGTCATGAAGTGTTTTTTGGCCAGACATGAATGACCTCAGACAGTGTGCAAGCACACACACCATTTATGAAAAGCCATTCAGACACAACACACATACCTAGACTGACTGGCAATAACAAACAAAAAATCGAAAGGGAAACGGAAATGCTCTCATGGGGTTTTTATTTACTTAACAAAAAAATATAAAAACTTTTTCAAGCATATTTTTTGGGGGAAAAGCAAATCAACCAATTAAAATACCTCAGAGGTATTTTAATTGGAAATACTACATAAACTACAAAAGGCTATTACACATACTGTTGGTAATTAAATAAAATAAAATGCAATTTCATGAGTATTTCAAGCATTTGAGCTACAAAGAAAAAACCTTCAGCCATTTATTCATGCAACTGATTTTTTTTTATAAAAAAGCTTGTGTTTTGAATTAATAAAATATATTTATTTTTTGGTTATATTTTCTATGTGATTTTTTTGATGATCATTTTTTTTTTGTTGCGGTACAACCTACGTGATGAAGAGCCTTTTTATCTTTTTTATCCTTAGAAAAAAAAATTCAAAAGAAGAGGATTGTAAATAAAATACTACAAATTTTGGTTTGTTCTAGTTGCCATGAATTTTGTCGCCCATTCAATTTATACGACGAACGACCGACATGCATGTGATAAAAAGTGTAAAACAAATAATTTAATTGCTTTCATTTCTATCCTCTCTTTTTCAGAACTTTGTATTCATCTTTGTTATAAGTTAAAACAAAACACACACACACATATCTACAACATGTCTGATGAAAAAGCTGCTGCCGTTGTTGCCGAAAGCAATACCACAAAAGATGAAACTCCTGTCCCTGCTGCTGGCACCGATGCCACTTCCACTGAAAATCCCCCCTCATCTGAAGCTGAAGTTGAAAGAGAACGCTCTGAGAAGATACTTAAAGCTAAAGAGCTATACAGCCATGGTTCACGCAATTTCCTTGTGAAATCCTATGCCGAAGCTGCCGATGAATTGAGTCAAGTTTGTGCTCTCTATGGCGAATTACATGGTGAATTATCTGATGAACTGGGTATGCCTTATTTGCTCTATGCCAAATCGTTAATTGCTTTGGCTTTGGATGAGAACAAAGTTATCGATGTACCCGATGAGGAGGAGGATGATGATGAGGAAGAAGAAGAGGCTGAGGCTGCAGCCACAACAAATGGAGAGAAGGTTGAAGAAAATGGTACAAAATTGGAGACAATTAAAGAAGATGGTGCTGTAGATTCTACAGAAAAATCAGGGGAGGAGAAATCTGAAGAAAAGACCGAAGATAAAACAGAAGCTGAGAAACCTGCGGCTGAATCTGAAGTAAGCAGTACCGATGAAAAGAAGGAAAAGGAATCAGAAGACAGCAAAACTACCAATGGTGTAACCACCAATGGTTCTGCTGTGGCAAATGATGGTGAAAAACCATCTACCTCGAATGGAGAGACTGGCGAAGATGCAGTCGATGAAGAAGATGAAAATGAGGCGGTAAGTTTTAGAAGAATTTTAGAAATTCTAAGTAACTGACAACATTTATGAGATGCTCTGAACGTTGTAGAAAAAATGTTGCTTTCTAATAAATTTTAATATCCAAACATTTAAAGAATTTCTCAGGTTTTAAGCAACATAGCCAAAACGGCTGTTTATTGTCAAACATTCTGCACGCAAACAATTATTAGTTCTCATATAAATAAACATTTCGTTTTCTATATCTTTTAAAGGCCTCAAATCTCCAATTGGCTTGGGAAATTTTAGAATTAGCTGCCAAAATCTTTTCACGCCAGGGTGAGGCTGGCCGCTCTAATTTGGCTGAAGTCCACACCGAATTGGGTAATATTGAATTTGAAAATAATGTTTTGGATTCGGCCCGTGAAGATTATCGTAAGTATATATACATACATTATTTTATTTTCCACGAAGGGATAACACATTTGGCTCATTTTTTATTTTATTTTTTTTTCAGAAAAAGCCTTAACCATTTACAAGGAATTGCCGACAAATTATCGTCGTGCCATGGCTGAGATTCATTATAAAATTGGTTTGTCCTATTTAATGCAACAATCAAATAAAGAAGGCGCTGCCTCTTTGAAGGAAGCATGTAAATTAATTGAAGGTGAAATTGAGGAAATCAAAAACAAACCCGATCTTACCGACAAGGATAAGAATAATATTCAAGATATGGAAGAAACAAAACAGGAAATTGAAGCCAAAATTGTTGAAATTGAAGAAACACAGGCTCAGGTAAACATTTTTATAAATTAATTCGATAGGATTGATTTGATATGTTTTAAGCTTTTGGAGTAGTCTATATATATATATATATATATTTCTTTTCGAATCGCTTTTGTCACTTTGGGCTAGATTCTCGTATACGAAAATGAACTGAATTGAAATTAAAAATGAAAATAATTATATTAAATTTTGACAAAAATACCACTTGAAAGCACACGGTGTCGAATAGCCCACTTTGTACTCCCGCTTAAAATTTTTTCTTTACGAAATAATGATTTTCGTTTTTTTTATTTACAGAACATTGCAGAAGTTCGCGCTGCCTTGGATAGCTACATAAAGCCAATGAGCAGTGGAGATGTTGATGCTGGCACTTCAAAAGCAGCCAACGCTGCTGGGGCTGCAGCTGATGGTGGCGGTGCTACATCTACATCAGGTTCTGCGGCGGCGGCAATAACTTCATCATCAAAACCTACAGATATTTCACATTTAATTAAACGTAAGAAGCCCGAAGAATCCACATCTGAAGCGGAGGCTGCTGTTGCATGTTCACCGGCCAAACGCCCGGCTGTATAATTACATGATGGGGAAGGACTAACATAAATTAAGTGCATTCCAGCAGCAGAAATAGCAAAACAAGGCATAAGAAAAAAGGCCTCCCTTCTCATTATTAACTTTAAATTGTATCATTTTTATTTTATTTTTTTTTTAAGAGAGAAATGTTATTTTTCCCTTTATTGTGTCCATTGACCGGACCAAATAAGCCACCTACTTACATACACATACCTACATTTATATATACGTTTTCTTTTTAGTTTTAAGTAGAAATTGTTTTCTTTTTCGTCTGTTACTCCGTTGTATCAGCTAAAATTTATGTTCCTCCTGAATTCTGTTTTCTTTTTTTCTGTTTTAAAAAAATACACATACATTACATATACAAGAAATAATATTTTTTGCGCTCAAACTTCATTTGCATATTAGGAATGTATTTTGTTTGTTTAGTTAGTATTTTAATGTTATGTCCGTTCATGATGACCTTTATATAGAAAAATAGAAATACTGTTTTGTTTTCGCATTTTATTTACTGCCAATTTATATTCAAAATCCCATAAAATTATAATTATTTTAAAATATATCATTTGCCTCCATTTTTGCTTCAATATGAGTTAATATCAATATATATCAATATCAAGTGATTTTGTTTACCCGGGCCTTCAATTAGGTTTTTCTCTGGCATGTAAATTTTCTAAGACTTTAATGTGAAATGTTCAAGCCCCATAGTTTTTTAACCGCATTCGAATTATAGCTTGAAGCTTAAAAATCCTCATTACAAAAGCAACTAGTATTTAAGGCAACTCTCTACTTATAAAACTAATAATAAATAAAAAAATAAATCTTTTTTATTCATAAAACCCAAAACAAAAATTGAATTTTCGTTTCCAGAAACCACACAACAAATAAAACATGTCTCAGTCGGTGCAGCCGACAGATGTATGTTTTTATCAACGAGTTGATCATCTGTGGTACCAGAAGACGTTGAAAGTGTATATAACCACATTAACCATAAGGCTTGAGGGTATAAATAAAAATATGACCGGCAAATATATGCCATTCTAGACTCAGTTCAATACGCTATGCTAAATTTCGTGTCAATCGAACAATGATAGTGTCTATTTTGTTTATATTTAACAAAAAAATAGTCGATATTTAACATATCTTTGAACTTTCACAAAATGCTAATTTTCTCCTATATAAAATAAGTTTATATATGTATTTTCAGTATGGAATAAAACTTTAGAATTCCCTCTAACCGTTGGTGCTAATTTTATAAAAATCTGTTAAGTAGTCGCTGAGTTATGTGCATTTGAATTCAACCATGATCCGAAATATACTTACTGTTCGGTGCTGGGCACCTATTACCTGAAAATGGAAAACAACACAGAGATTGACTTTCAAAAACTCATCGAAATTGGTCTTTCATTCACAATAACTGCAGGTTTGTAAAAAATTGTAGCATACTTTTAGGCAGATTTTTAATCGAAAAATCAAAAACAAGACAGAAATTGACTTTCATTCACAATGGCTGCTGGTTTGTAAAGCATACTTTTAGGCCTTTATGTAGTCCGATTTTTAAATTGATTGTTTTTATGGAAAAAAGTTAAATGTAACAAATTCTCTTCATGATTGGTCAGGTTTTTATGCCTTCAACCTTATTCGAATTGTAATTCGAATCTTAGAAACCCGCAGTACAGAAGCAAATAGTATTATAAAACATTCCCCCACTTATAAAACTAATAGTGAAATAAATCTTTCTATCATAAAATATCTTAAAATTACTTTGAATTTTCTTTTTAAGAACCACAAAAAAGATAAGACAGAGGGGGCGTGCGTTTGTTATCACCTATTCTTCACCTTCAATTTTTTTTTACCACATGCATGTCAAGCGTCTTTGAAACTTTGAAAAGAAAGCAAACTTAGTTTTATTTTTCTTTTTTTTTTGCTGTGTTGCCTTTAATAAACATTCGCTCTACTCTATCTATATATATGTTTGTATGTTATATTAGTAAGTATGTTTGTATATAAATATACATAAAAGTTAAGAAACAAACACCATCTGTATGTGTATGTATAAATGTTAGTTGAATATTTGCACTAGAGTGTTTACGTTGATGTTGTTGTTTGTTGTTGTTGAATCAAAGGGAAAGAAAGAATATAGAAACAGAGATAGAGCGACAGACAAAAATGGACACTTGATGAACACACACACATAGATTGTACCATACGTACTTAGATGAGGCTGCAATGTGGTCTGTGACTCACTATGTTGCCAATCGTTCCGTTGCTCTTCACCTCGAGCATTCTCCATGGATCCGGCCAAATAGTTGAGGCATGTCGGTGCACTTCGTGGGAATTTCGGATGTCTTCTCAGTTCTTGTATCTCGTGTAGGGGTAAATCTATACAAAGTGTCCAGATACCGCCATGCATTGGTACCAAAAATAGATTATCACGTCGAAAACGATGATCAGCTGAAAAACAAATGTTAACGAAAGGTTAATCAATCGATTTTTTATTTTGTTGTATTTATATTCAGTAACATTTTTGAGGATTAAGCTCTTCTATTTTTAATGCAATAGCTTGAGGTCTTCCATTTTTTTTTTTTGTTATGAAAGTACTTGGGGTCTTCTATTTTTAATGGACGAGCTTTAAGTCTTCCATTTGTAATAGAACAGCTTTTGGGTATTCTATTTCAAATAGAAGAGCTTTAGGTCTTCTATTTAAAAAAGAGCTTTAGAACTTCTACTTTTAATAGAAGAGCTTTAAGTCTTCTATTTTTAAAAGAAGAGCTTTAGGTATTCTATTTGTAAAAGAAGAGGTTTAAGACTTCTGTTTTTTATAGAAGAGCTTTAAGTCTTCTATTTTTAAAAGACGAACTTTAAGTCTTCTATTTTTAAAAGACGAACTTTAGGTATTCTATTTTTAATAGAAGAGCTGAAAGTATTCTATTTTTAATAAAAGAGCTTTAGGTCTTCTATTTTTAATAGAAGAACACTAGGTCTTCTATTTTTAATAGAAGAACACTAGGTCTTCTATTTTTAATATAAGAGCTTTAGGTAATTTTTTTAATAGCAGAGTTCAAGGTCTACTATTTTTAATAGAAGAGTTTGAGGTAATAATTTTAAGAAAAGTTTTTTTTTCTTTTCTATTAAAAGCTTCAGGTCTTCTATTTTTAATATACGAGCTTGATGCGTTATATTTTTTAATAGCAGACCTTGAGGTCTTCTACTTTCAATAGAAGAGCTTGAGTACTTCTACTTTCAATAGAAGAGTTTGAGTTCTTATATTTTTAAGAGAAGAGCTTGAGGTCTTCTACATTTTAGTAGCAGACCTCTATTTTTAATAGAAGAACTGCAGGTCTTCTATTTTTAATAAATTATCTTAGGGCCTTCCGTTTTTAATAGAAAAGTTTGAACTTTTGAGCTTCATGTCCTCATTTTTAATAATGGGATAGCTTGAGGACATATGGATCTCCCTGGTATTCAAAACCAAGTTAGCCCTAGCATTAAGTCTCATAGGGACCAACGAGGTTCTATATCTAATATTATTAGCTGTTGGGCCTATCCAGGATGTAAATCACCAGATTTTTTTTTTTAAATTTACTACAAAATCTCTCTAATTTATATTGAAAAATTTTTAAATATGTTTCTAAATGGCAATATTTTCTCGGAATTAAAATTCGTGTTGCCTTCTAAATTTTCGTTGATTTTTCTGTTTTGTTTTTAACTTTCCAAGCACGTGCCTGTTGCTTTGGTGTACCATGAACCTTTTCAACTTGACTAGATACTTCCGCAGCAATTGATAGTGAAAGTAGCGAATAGATAGAAAACCAAAATCGATTTAATCGCTGTAAAAGGGAAATGCAAAAAATAAAATGGAAGAGAAGAGAAACCTTTTCCTCCTTCACAACTTTATCAACATTGAAAGTTAGGTTTTTATTCAATGTTGTTGTTGTTGTTGCTGGTGGTGGTGTATGTGACATTGTGCCGTACTTCAATGTTTCTTTTTTCCTGTGAGTGTGTTACGTGAAGTTCACATCGCGCATTATTAGCCAGTTTTTCCCACTCATTTGCCAAGCCCGTTTTGTGCAACTCCCCCTCGTCAGGCCGGCTACCAATTCTTTGGCATGAATTGAAGGTGAAAACTTTTCTTTTTTTTGACATGGTGGTTCTGGAAAGTCACGTCAGCCCATAAATGCGAGTATATATATATATATATATATGAACTTGTAAAGAGACATGCCAAGGGAATTTAGAGACAGGTGCGGCATTAAGTATATGATGATTTTCCAGTTATTGTGTGGCTGCCACCGACAGACATAGTTCTTGGGTATCCTGCCGGCTTATATGGATATGTATATGTGTATATAAATATATACGAACGTGTTTGTATTTGTTATCGCAATAGTTTATGTCTCCAATGAATAAGGTCAAGGTTGTTTTTTTCTTCTTCTTTCTTTATTTATATACTTAGATACGTATACGTATATAGATGAGTGTGTTTGTTTAGTTATTTAATCCTATATTTGTCTGCATTCCTAATTATTGTCGTCAATTTGTTAAAAGGGGTAATTTATAAAATTAAAAATAATCGTGTGCCAGGTGCTAAATATAGACAATTTGAAGAAATTTACTGGATCGGTACTAAAGGGGTAAATGGGGCTGGAAGGGAAATTTCTTTAAAATGTCATAGAAAAAATGACATAGAAAAAATATTTAAAATATGACATAGAAGAAATCTTAAAAATATGTGGATCCTTGCATAGATCAAAAATGTTTTTTACTCACCCCTCTTATCCGGCTTCAACATGGCCACCGTGTCTTCCATTATCCATTCCAATTGTAAATTCGAACGATTTGAATATCGCTCCAAACTGGCACGATCCCATTTCACATGTTCCCAATGGTCGGTCATAATGGCAGCACATAGCATCGCTGTGGCGCTGGTCGTCATCAGCAGCGTTACGAATAGGAAGAGCAGTGGCGGTGGACCCATGCAACAACTTGAGCAACAATTTGTACCGCCAACGGTACTCGTCACATCCATGCCGGAATTGAGCGATGTGGGACTATCTAAATCACCGCCCGCCCCGCCACGATTCGACTGATGCATCATTATTTTCGAGGAACAGCTACTGTTGCGCAACAGGATGCTATTGCTACGTCGTAACGATTCAAGGGCAGCGGCCGACGAACTGTGTGGATCGTATTGTAGTGAGCTGGCGACCACAGCCGAGGGATGCTCATAAATGCTATTGTGGCGAGAGGGTGAAAAATAGTAACAGGTTGTTTGTTGTTGTGGCTGTTGCTGTTGACTGTATTTTGCGGAACTGCTACTGCTGCTGTTGTTATTGTTGTTGCTATAACCACCACCACAACCGATAAGACTACTGCTTCTACCACCATTACCCTGAGCCACCGCACCATCTGCCGGATATTCATTGATTGTGCTCAGGTCCTCATTGCTGGACGAATAGACAATCGACTGCTTGAACTGATTCGAATAGCAATTCTGTTTGAACGACGAGGAGACAACGGCCGCTGGATACTGCGAGGAGCCCTTGGGTGCATTCGCATACAAGGCCTCGTAGTCGTAGTGATGCGGATTACGATAGATCACCGGCCATGAGCGCGTCGTTTTCGAATTGTGCGAATAGGTGGTGTAGGTCGTTGCTGTTGTCTGTCCGGCGTTGTTGGTGGCAGTGGAGGCAACGGTGGCGGCGGCGGTTGTGGTGGCGTTAGTGGCTTGTTGTTGGTAGTAAGTCGTGTTTATGCTGTTGTTGGGTGAGTTGGTCGAATTGGTTGTTGAATTGGCCGCATATGCCGGAGGATCTTCAACGGGGTTCTGCGGAGTTACCAGCGGTGTTGTTTCGTTCGGTTGACTGTCGGCACTCGTCTGGGGGGTTATATTCGTTGATGTTGCACTGCGTTTACTTTTTGTTGGCGCTGCTGTTGTTGTTGGACTTGTCGCTGATACTGCAGTGGAGGCCTGTTGACGTTGCAGCACATTTCTCACCGAGGCTGCAATGGTCGAACAGGGCCCCTGGGCCGAAATGACGGCGCTATTAATCGACTGTTTGAGTTTCAGCGGTGGCAAGTGACGGCTCGTTTTGCTGTTCGGCTCGCTGGGACTGCTGCTGCTGTCGGCCGCTGCTGCTATCACAATGTGGGTGGTTGTTGTGGGTACGGCGGTAAGTTCATTAAAGTCTTCCTCTTCGACGAGAGTGGCTCCTGAGGGGGAGGGGGAGGAAATGTTAGCATTAGTGTTGTTGCCTACATTTGGGGGGCTGTCGAGAGAGCTATTGGGACTATTACTTTTGCCTTGAATTTTGTTGCTATTCTTCAAATTCTTGATGTTGTTGCTGACGTTGACTTTGTTCTGGCTGAGGATGATGTGGTGGTGGTTGTTGGTTGCTGGGGTATTGGTGTTGGTGTTACTGGATGTTGTTGGTATGGTTTGGGAATAGCTATAATATTGGGTGGGTGAGAAACTACATGAATTAGTGGAGGAGGAGGTGTGGTTGGTAGTGGAGGTGGGTGTCGATGCTGGCGGTGCTCCGGTGCCGGGTGCATTAATGGGGCCTTTCAAATCTTGACCATAGATCAGGCCACCCTCTGTGGGCGAGGTAATGCTCACTTCGGGCACACATCGGGCCGTTACCTTATAACGACTACCGGTATTGCCAAGGCCCAAACCCAAAGCACCCTTAGTCCGCACCAGTCATAAATCAGTGTCACGTTTTTTCATTTTGTTAGCATTCATGGCGTTTTGTTGCTGCTGCTGTTGCTGTTGGTGGTGGTGGTTATGGCCAGCAGCAGCTGCGGCGGCTGCGGAAATGTTGTTTGGATTTGTCTTCGTGGTGGTCGTTATTTTGTACGGATGCTGGTGGTGGGTGTGTTCCAGTGATTGTGGCTGCTGCTGCGGCTGAACCAATGCTGATGCTTGTGCTTGGGGTGTGCGAGTGTCGTGGTCGAATTGGGTGTCTATGTTACAGGGTGTTGGGGATTTGGGTTGCTGGTGTATTTTATTGATTTTGAAAATGTTTGTGCAGTTTTTTGTTGTTGTTTTTTCTTTTTATTTTGATAGGCAAGTGCAAAATAAGCGGCAGCGAAAATGAGGGAGTTTTTTCAAGCCAAGCTAATGTGTTAGTGTTGTGAGAGAGACTTGGTGCCAATAAGTGGTTTCTAGTTTAGATGTCCGTGTATTTTTTCGAGGGGAAAATTAGATCCTTATAAATGCAGTTTTTCCAGCTAGTTTTTTTTTTTTTTTTTGAAAATGTTCACTACACGGAGATTTCTAGTTCTTGTTTATCCCGCTTACAACAAATGTGTTTTGGTGTTAAATGTGATTTGAGTGGTTTAGAGTGGCTGGCTGTTGTTGTTAGTGTTCGTTTTGGTGGTGTTGGTGTTGATGGCGTCTGTTGCCGTTTTTTTATTTTCAAAGTGCTTCTCTGGGTATTTTTTCTATGTTTCAGGATATGATCACTTCTTAAGTAAGCAGCTCAGTTTTAGTTTGTTTTTTCTCTAAGTTGTTAGTAGTTGCTTGTTATAAACACGTTTTATATTTGTACAGTAGAAGGGTTGATTTTTTGTTTGCTTTTTTAGATTTGCTCAAGCGTTTAGTAAATTGGTTTATTTATCTAGTTTGTCAAACTTTTTGCTATAGAAATGGTTGCTCTATTTATAGAAAGATAAAGAATACACAATAAAAAAGAAATATGAAAAATAAAAGAAAAGAAAATATGCGATTAGTTTAGTTTGCCTTATCTCGGGGGAAATTCTTTTTTAGTAGAACAAGAGTAGGAGAAGAAAAAAGAAAGTTAAAAGCAAGCTTGTTTGTTTAAGGAAAGTTATTTTATTAAAAAGATGTGTAAGCTAAGATAATAAGCAGTTGTAAATATTTGATATAATACAAAATAAAAAAAAAAATAAAAAATATAGATACGGTTATGTATATACGAATATCTAATAGGAGAGACAGTTGTGCATTATGAAAAAAACTGATAGATGACAACTATGGATGTTAAAATTACATACATTAGGAATATTTATTCAAATTACATTCATTACGAACATTTAGACAAGAATTGCACATGGAATTATTATCAGAAATTTTAGGAACTTATTAGTTAGGGATATGTTTAGCTTAATATTTTTTATTATGTAACATATACATGAACTTATTTAATAAAATATCATTTCAATTTTTTAATATCGTCAAAACAAAATTCGCATTACGGAAAATATGTTCCCAATATTCGATATATTTATTTCCCATATCATTTTAATCAATTCAATGTTTTTTGTGCATCCGTGGTAGATGACCACAAACATTAATAATTTAATTTCGATTCGAATGTCATATTGCATTTGTGCACACACACATACATACATTTATAATATTTGAACTTCTGCTCTATTAACCTTAATGTCCCCCCTCTGTCCCGATGTTTGAGCAGCTTTTGTGGTTCTAGTTCGGTACGGTTGTTTAAATGAAATAAACCATAAAATTTTATAGAGCATAAAATGCCGTAACAAACAAACGAAAAATAAACCACATGCTGGTCTACATAGTACTTGGTTGAATTTGTTTAGTTTACCTTGATATTAAACCATTGTGGACCAATTAGATGAATTATTTAGAAATTTATTCGTTTTTATACGAAGAACACATTGCAAATAATACATACATTGATATTATATTAAATTAGTATATGCCCATATTTTTAATCTAGTTCACCAAAGGGTTAATTTCCTCCCACATTTAATATATGCACACTCAGTGATGCAATCATTTCATAGCCATAAAGTTCGATTCATTCAAATCCAAATGTATTATTAAATTATGATAGAGACAGATAGAGTGAAAATAAAAATGAACATAGGTTACGAATTGCAGGTCATATTTTTGAATTGAATACCACCTGCATTATAATTGAATCAAATTCAATGATACACAAAGTTTGTGTTGAACTTTGAATGAATAAATATATATCTAAAAAACCCACATATTTAAAGATGAAAAAATAATATCTTTCAAGAAAAATATTTCGGTCAGTAATATTTTTTCTAATATTTCTATATAAGAACATTTCTATATAAGAACATTTACACGTCAGTAATATTTTTTCTATATAAAAATTTTGTATACCAGTTACATTTTCTATATATAAAAATGTTCACGTCAGTGATATTTTTATATAGAAATATGTGTCCGGTCAGTAATATTTTTCTATACAGAAAAATTAGCACGTTCGTAATATTTTTTATAGAGAACCAGTGAGCGGAGCAGTATGGTTGGACGGGGCCGACCATTCGATACCCTACACAACTACCACGGAACTCGGATGTTTATTCCGATTCCCTTCACAGTGGGTTGTGTTGTGATGTTCGTCTATAGTCGACTAGAAAACACACAAAAAATTAAGTTTTCGGTTCACTTCATCCAAAAATTATAATCTGATCATCATCGAAAATTATAGGCGTTGTCTTTGACCATAATTGGAACTTCATGGAAAATTTTAAAGTGATCAGCGCTATATTTCCGCCCACTAATGTGGTAATGGGTTACTAAATAATATCTTAATACGTAATCACCTGTAAATATTTAAGTGAAATTCCCACATCCGAGTACATACGACAATGTAATTGGAGTTATTTTGATGGTCAACCATCCCTCTTGGATACACTATCAACTTCGCGGGTCTATATGTTTCACAAGTAAATATATACGCCATAGAATACAAATTTTGTCATTTTTCACACAAAAGTCAGGGTCCATTTGACCCACTAAATAATGACCGATCTTTATCAAAGCAGGCATGGATATTATCTGGCCCAATCCTCTCCATGTAAAATTTCGCGAGCTGCACAAAGTGCAGGTCACATTTATAATCTGATTTGGATGAAATTTAGCACAGCTCATTTATTTGGCACAGGGACGAACCCTATTGAAATTGGGAGAAATCGGTTCAGATTTACATATAGCTCCCATATATAATTTCGTCCGATTTAAGGTGAACGGTGCACCAAAGTCCCTATATATTTCGATTTGCACGAAATTTGGCATAGCGTACTAACTCAGACTTAGAATGACGTACGTGCAGTTTAGCGAAAATCGGTTCAGATTTAGAAATAGTTCCCATATATATTTTTGTCCGATTTAATGTATATATCATTCGATTTGCACGAAAATTGGCACAGCGCATTAAATTGAGTCTATATTGATGTGTGTTAAGTTTCGTGAAAATCGGTTCAGATTTAGATATAGCTCCCATATATATTTTCTACCGATTTTGGTAAATGGTGTGCCAAAGTCTTAAATATCATTTGATTTGCACGAAATTTGGCATAGCGTACTGAAATGAAGTCTAGAATGATGCGTGTTAAGTTTCGTGAATATCGGTTCAGATTTAGATATAGCTCCCATATATATTTGCGTCCGATTTAAGGTAAATGGTGCACCAAAGTCCCTAAATATCTTCCGATATGCACGAAATTTTGCATAGCGTACTAAATTGAGTCTATAATGATGTGTGCTAAGTTTCGTGTTCTTTCGAAAAGGCGACGTCTGTTAGGAGACTATGTAGAATATACCCAAAGTGGTGTAGGGTATCATATAGTCGCCCCAGTCCGACTTTATTACTTTCCTTACTGGTTTTTCTATATAAAATAATTTTCTTCTCAGTCATATTTTTCTATAGAGAAAAAATTGTCCCGCCAGTGACAAATTTATATCTATATACAATGTATGTTATTTGTCCTCTCTTTCCCTTTACCCTTCTCCTTGTATTCTCCTATAAAATTTCATGAAATTTTTCAATTTAAAATCTATAAAAGAACCTTTGGTGCATGTTTGTTGAATGTTTTGTTTTTCCTTGCCTGGCAAATTGTTTAACCCTAACTTGTTTATGTGTCTTATCAATATTTAAATAGATAAATATTTGCCACAGTTTACCAACTCCAAAGTTGTCTTCGTTGTTGTTCTTCTTGTTGTCATCATCGTCAACAGATGCCTGGAACATCCTCCACATCGAACCGACAACGGGTGAGTAAACAAATAAAATGATAAAATTTTATTAAGGATACAATAATAAAATGCAAATTGAATTTGCTTGCAAGTAGTAGCTTCATGATCTGTGCCACATGCCCCATCGCCCTTCCCCCAACCTCAAAGCTATTCTTTAACATTGGTTGTTCGTTCTGCAACCACCCATTTGCAATCAAAAAAT